TACAGCCTCAGTGAAGGAGGAGAGCTTTGTGGAATGGTGTGCAGCCATGCGGGCGACCTGATTTGGGCAGGTGACCATTGACTGGACGGACATCCTGGCGCAGAAGCGACGGCGGCGCAAGATGAGAGGAGTTCTTGGAAGTGTCGGATGGGTAGCACGGATGTGCCGGCCAGAGCTGTCGTACCAATGCAGTAACCTACAGGGGAAGCAGAGCCGCCCAACGGTTCAAGACTTGGTCGCGACCAACAAGTTCCTAGCATCAGCACAGAAGACCAAGGACAATGGGATTCGATTCTGCAAGGAGAAGTTTCAATTCCATGACACGTACTGCTCTCGGTGACTGGCGCATCTTTTGGTGCTGACATATCAGTGACCGACGATGGACGTCGCCAAGGACATCGATCACAAGGAGGTCCTTGACATTGCAGGCAGAGGTGTTGTCATCGACGCTGGGATCGGAGGAGGCACAGCGGGTGAGAACGATTCTTTTCGCTTTGAGGCACTCCATGCCTGTTGGAGCAAGGTTCAAGACCTGGCAGGTGCAGGCAGCCGACTCGAAGCGCATTTGCTGGAGGCGTGCCGATGGCCAGGAAGTGGGAGATGTGAGCACGATGGCCCACACGCCGGAAGAAGCAAAAGACCAGCTTTGGTGGGTCTGCGCCAAAGATATGGTACTCACGAAGTTGATGAAGTGGGATGATGTGCGCATATGCGCGCCATTTAGTGCATGTGAACCAGCTGACTCTGACGGTGAAGCTGCTCAGGGCTGGCAGCAAGGGCATGAATGAACTCAGCCGAAAAGAGTTTGATGGGTGTGAAGAACTTGAAGTAACACCTAATCCGGCATGAGTCATTCATGTGTGTTTCGCTTGGTTTGCTCAACCACTTGGGGCATATATGGGCCCTTGAGTCAACGCGGAAAAAGCATGCTAGCTTTGACTTGTCAGCGGTGGTCGTCACAAACCCAATGTTTCTACAGATCTGAAATGCAATTAGAGTGAAAGGGGTGGTCAGGAGCAGTGATTGCTGCACAACTCCAGTCAACGCAACTGCTCCAGTTCTTCTCAAGAGGGGGCAAAGCTTGGACCAGTAGGCTGCAGTCGAGTTCCGTTGCTGCTGCTGCTGGTTCTGCTGCTGCTGCTGCTGCTGCTACTGCAGCTGCTCATGAACATTCTACTTAACACATCACTCCTGGAGGACGGCTTGCGCGAAAGGGTCGTTTTGGAGATTTCTCTTGAGAGGGAGTCTTGCGCGACTCGCTAAGAGGCATTTTGGACAACGCTGTCCCACGAGAGTGTCAACATGTGTGATATGGAGGCTGTGTTGTAGCGTTTGCAGCTCCTTGTCACTTGGATGCCAGTCACACAGCGTATCAGCCTCGGCATGGACCACAGGAGGTGAGTGTTATATGTCCAGCAGCAGGCCCTCACAGCGGCCAATGCATGGGCTGGTGACATACTCCTGAAAGATTGCTTCATTTGATCTTTTGAGTATTGCAATGGGAGCGTTTCAAGTACCTAGTGGTCTCCTTCGAGGCGGTGTGAGCCAGGTGGCGGAGGCTGTGCTTGCTGTTGTTGGAACAAGGTCCGGCTTTGCTGTGCTTTGGTGGGCTTTTTGCTGGCGACCTTGGTGAAGCCGTCGAGGGGGGTTGCCAGCAGGTTCTGTATTGCTTGTGTTATGGGCCACATTTCGACTGGGCTTGTCGTGGGCAAAGTATTCATAATCTTCATCCAAGGTTTGTCGCCATTGGTCTTGCTCCCGATCATAGAGCTCCGTGGCCCGCTCCCACGACTGTCAGACCAGCGTCCCTGAAGCATCTTCTGAGATGTGGTTCAGCTCCTGGTTGGTCGGGGCGCTGGTCTTGCAGATCTGCAAGCGCCTCAAGGTCAACGGTGTCGTAGAAGGTGCTCATGTCATGTCCATGAGGATGGAGATGCCATGTCTGCGCACAAATTTGGTGACTTCTTGCCGCATGGGGCGGGCTAAGGTCACATGTAGCACTTGTGCGGCTTTGTCGTAATTATGGGGTCCAACTGCCAGGCATGTAAAGTCTCTTTTTCTGCTTGCGCCAGAGCCTGTAGATGGTCGATGTCAGTGTGATCGGTCGTTCGCGCTTGGCGTTCTTTGGCAGCATGATGATCAGGCTTTGCGCCCGGTGGGCGCACTCTGTAGCAACTGTCTTGAAATGCCATCCGGGCCGGCAGCCCTCTCTGGGAGATGCTTGAGGCTCCTGGCAATGTGGCCAAGGGATAGCTCCGGAAGATCTTGACTGCAAAGCACTTCATTTTCGGAGTGTGCCCCGGGCTGGCGCATTCTCTTGTCGACACGGTGAGGCCTTTGCCACGCCAATTCAGGCCTTGAGACTTCGAAACAGGCCACGAAGTCCTTTGGCGTTGGCCTCTCCTTGAGCAATCCGTAGAGCAGACTCATCACGGGCCAGGGCATAAGCTTTCTGGGCTTCACTCAGCAGATCTTTCATCAATTGTTTCCAAACCAATTCAAGCCCCCAATTGTTTCCAGTAGGCGGTTTGCCCTTGTGCCAGGGTGTGGTAAGCGGCCTCTAGCCAGTATCCTCTGCCTTGGAGCTGCCATAAGTGGTTTTGTTGCAGGCGCTGCTCAGTGCACGATACCTATAGTCCGCCCGTGGCTGTGCCCCCCCTCATTGGTGGCTGCCTCTTAGAGACAGAGTTCAACTGCCTGCGACGCGTATGTGTTCTGGCCCGGAAGTCGACATCTGGAATTGCGGTAGCGGCGGTAGCGGTGGAATTCGGCAGAGAGCTGTCTGCGCTATAAGAGCAGAGTCAATTCAAAGGCCAGTGTAAGGTGTCAAGCGGGCAAGGACAGGGGTGTTTGCAGTCTTGGAGTAGAGCTAGCAGCTTGGCTAGGAGTTGGCTATGGCGCCGCGAAGGGTGTCATTGGTCTTGAAGTACACGCCAACGATGAGTGCCAAAGGCATGCAGCCTAGCCACAACCGTCAATGTGGAAGGTGTCGAAGGGACATTCCACAAGTGACGTCGCAAGGGCAAGGATCCCTCCACAAATGCCGTGGTTGGTCTCATTGCTGGACGCTGGCATGCCATAGGCTTGTCGGCCTCTCACAATGAAGTACTGACACATGCTGGCATGTTGTTTTGCATCCAGGTTAGGCCTAGGTCACACAAAGGATCACGGGCAAAGTGACCTTGTAAGTGGTGATGTCCGAAAGGTCGTTGGTGAGTGAGGTGGTCGATCAGGTGGTTCACTGCCCAGATGTTCAAGGCGAGATCTGCCAGGCACCAAAGATCTCCCAGCCTAGATGCTGCCCTCTCCACGCAAAGCATGGGGTTTTACGCGCGCACCTCTGCTGAATCATTGCGTGGCAATTTTGCGTGACGCTCTTGCCCTATCTAGGACACTCTTGTGCGATGTGGCAACTTGGTAACAAGCATTGCAGCCTCGTCGTGACTGCTGACAAGGCTAAGAGACCACTCAAACGAGAACGCCGAGGAGCTCCAGTGAAGGCAAGTCCTGACCTTAAGGCCAACCCCATGATCCCTTCAGGCAAGAATGCACCAGAAACCTGAGCCACCCGAACCTGGAGCCAGCGAGACAGCTATAGGCCTATTAGGCCTGGGCAAAACGCCTGTCGAGACCGAGCCACCCTACAGGGGAAAACACATACACACCTACCTACCTACATACATACATACATACAGAAAATATAGCTATATACCCAAAAAAAATAAATATGGCGTCCCTGGAGACAAAAGGGAAGGTTCTTGTGCTTGGGAGGGCACTCATCAAAGGAGCTACGTTGCACAAACTCTGTCATACGTCCATTTTTGGCTGCAAACCGGCTCTATAGTGCCCGTGACTGGTGACTTAAACTAATCAAGAAACACAGCTCAACTGCCAAAGAATGTGATATTCTTTTGGACCTTGTGACATTGGTTGGAGCCATCAATCCACTCATCGAATTTTTCAGCTTGCAAAGGCAAGTGGCAAGGCGCAGGGCATCACAGTGTCCAGATTAGAAGAAATACGGCAAAGGAGACCAAGCGCTCACACCTTTGAAGAAAGCGTCCAACACCGAAGGGAAAGACGGTTACCAACCCCACCCCCAGCTCCCCATAATGTTAGAGTTGATGGAGGGTCAGGTGGTGATGTGTGATGTGGTGAAGAACTGCGTTTGTGTTATTGTGGAATTGGAGGTTTTCATGTTGTTTGTCATTTTCTAAGAACATGACCATCCTATGGCAAAGTCATCGCTGGGATTGCAACCACTAAGAGCACATGTTTGACCAACACACTGTGTGACCACAAACATTGACAAAAACACGCGACTGCGACAAAGTCTGCGCGCGACAAAGTCTGTGAGAAAAGATGCATCAGCGAATCAGTGAGCCAGCCCTCAAAAAGGAGAAGCGTTGCGGTCCAATGCCAATCCATAGATCCAGCAACGCGTCCGAATGTGGGCTGCCAAAATATACATATATATAAACATATACATATACCGATACTATATTATATTGTATACTACAATAGTATATCACTTGTTCCTTCCTGTACGACAATGCATGTGGGGAATCCCTAACTTTGTGCCCAGAAAGAACAATAGTGCAATCAGTTCCCAAGCGCTTGAACCAGGCATGCCACATAGAGTCGTCCGGTAGCATCGCTTTACCAGATTACCGTTTTTCTTCAACGCAGTGCACCCTCGGCCCTCCGCGATTGCGTTTTGCGTCCTCAGATTCCATTCCTCAATGGAACTGAGGGACTGCCTATCGAATCCTCCAAGTCCAATCCCCAATGCAACTACAGGGATGCCACTTTCTGAAATGTGAGCATAGCGCACCACACACCAGCCGCTTTGCCAAACTACCGTTTTGTCTCCTGTTTGCTCCTACTTGCATGCCCGCTCACGCCAAGTGCAACGTTTCCTAACTCTGAACCTCTCTGTGAAACTTCTTTTGACACGTTGACGTCAACACTACTAGCAAACTTGCATACGCTGGGCGAAGGTCGAACTGCTGCTGTCCACTGCTCCATCAGCTGATGCCAGTGGCTCGGGTTGACGATTTTGTTGGGTGGCTGCGCAAAGCTGCCAGCATTTTTGCCAATGCACACAGGGTCTTTTGTGTCTTTTGTTCCCCTTGCCTTTCTGATTATTTTTCTCCTCCTCATCCTTCCTGGACTTTTGCTGTTCCTCGTCCTTCAATCTTCACTCCTGCAAGTGCAGTTTGCTCAGAGGGTCGCAAGCATTTGTGCATAGTGGGCAGGTCATAGACCTTGCGAATCACGTTTTCTTTGTTCTTTGCTTCCCGTGTTCTTGCCTTGGGACATCGTGCGACTGCTTTCTTTTTCCGGAGTCCTTTCTAGATGATCCTAGGCTTTTCATGTTCCTGTTCATGGTTGTCAATTATATATTGGTGTTTCCGGCTGGCCCAGGCCAAATAGGCTTGATTGATGCAAGAGTCCAAAGATCTTGGGATCAGGCTGTGATAACTGCGCCTCCTCAGGCGCTCACCTTCTGAATACCTGTTCCTTTTGCTTTAGTGCTTTTATTTTGTTTGTTTGCATGTCCTTTTCATCGTTTCTTGCCTTGTTATTGTTGGTGGCCCTTTTGCCTACTGCTGTAGGCATCAAAACCATGTTTGTAGTTTGTTGTCGTGTTCATTTTGCCTTTGTGGCAGTGGCCTTCGCGCGTTGCAGCCTTCCGCCTTCGCCTTTTTATTTTGACTACGAATAATGAATGTTATTGCTCTTGGCCATGAAGCAGCGTGAACCAAGACATCTATATATGTATACAGAAATTGTAGAACAACAGCTTTGTTGCAAGCAGGCACAAAAGAAAAGGAGCTTTGTTCTCTTGACTTTGGACACACCGAGGAGCTTTCGCTGCTTTCTACAGCTGCCCAAGCACCTGAGAAGGATGTCTCTCCTTTTTCGGTTTTGATCTCTCCTTTTTCGGTTTTGATCTCTGAGCCAGTTTGGATCGATATATGATATTCCATGGCAGTTGCGGCTTAAGCAGTTTGACTTTGAACGTTTCTTTTGAGTTGTCATGTTCCGAGTTGATTTTACTGAGAAGGAGACCTTGCCATGGGATGACGCAGAGAGTTTTGTTATCAAGCTCGCAGAGGCTGCAGGGTTGGAAGAACAACTTTCTACACGTGTTGACTTGTATGTGTGTGTGTGTGTGCGCGTGCGTTAGCTGGTAGCTTCGGATCCTGTTTCCAGACAGCCGTTGCGCTTAACACGATTTAAGGCATCAACAATTGAGAAAGTAAAACAGCTCAAGACTCGTGACTCACGGCATGTTTATTTAACGCACGCCCTATAAAATGATTATACCAGCGTTGACCCCAAACAGTTTGTTTGGTCCAGGTCCAAGTCCAGAAAAGTGTAAAATCATGCGGCCACAGCGCCCACAAAAAATCATGCGGCCAGCGCACCCACAACAAACTGGAGACCGTCAGAGACAAGTGTAAAATCATGCGGCCAGAGCACCCACAAGGGACTGGAGACAGTGGGAGACAAATGTAAAATCATGTGGCCAAAGCACCTACAGGAGACTGGAGACAATGGGCGACAAGTGGGAGACAAGTGTGAAATCATGCGAGACAGTGCGGGACAAGTGTAAATCAATTACAAGGGAATGGAGACAGCGCGGCCAGAGCGCCCAAAAGGAACTAGATACAGTGGGAGACAAGCCGGAGGCAAGTGCAAAATCACGCGGCCACCACAGCGCGGCAGGAACGAAAGCCGCGCGCCCTTTCACAGGAGTAAGAACCCCTCACAGGCAAACCGCTTGGGAAATAATGAACTTTAAATCTGCATTGTCCAGACATATTGCCAGCTGCTTCACCTGTGGAACCTGTATTCAGGGCACATTGCCTGGGAGCAAACCGATAGCAAAAATTACACCACCGTAGACCCCAAACAGGTGGGACAACAAAGAAGCATTCCTAAGTCCATTTTTTGAGACATGGGAGACAAGAAGGAAGACGAGGCGGACAATGACCAACAAGAAGGGAGACAAAAGGAAACAGAAGAGAGAGACAAGACAGACACAATGACCAACAAGAACGGAGACAAGAAGGGAGACAAAAGGAAACAGAAGGGAGACAAGACGGACACA